TCAAATCTACACTCTAAAACTATAAATCTGTACTCCAGGAGTGTAAATCTACACTTTAAAAGTGTAAAATGAGTTACTAAAATGTTGCCAGAGAACCGCCGGAGTATTACCGGAAATCTCTTAGCTCTCTCTGAACAGTATGCATGAGTGTCATTTTTATTTTATTTTTAATAGATTAACTGGTGGATATGCAAGCATCATAATTGGTGGATCTAGATGTCATGCGTAGAAACCAATTTCATGGTTAAAGACTGAGCATTTATTAACAAACAATTATCCCCATCAACCATGCTTGTGTATGTGTTTTTCAAAGATAGTACAGATATACTCATTCCAACAACCCTGTGCCCCACCGTTTTTCCTTTCCCAAAACAAAGTAAAATTTTCATTTTTTTCTCATGTAATTCATGTAAGTTTCCCAAGTGTACTGATTAGAAAAATGCCAAATTTTGAAATTGAACTCATGTGGTATAACCTCCATCTAGTAACATACAATAGACACTATAATAAGGGTAAATTACAAATATAACCCCTGAAGTTTGTTTAAAATACAGATTGTCTCATATGATTTAAAAAATTACAACTACTCCCTTATTAAAATTATTTATTTGACAGAATTAACTAAAAAAATAAAATTCATAATTGCTCTCTTATATAATAATAAAATTACCTAAATTATTAATTGAAACATATTTTTAATATCATTAAAAATAGTTAATTGACTTAATAATTTATTAATAAAAGGGATGATTTGTTATGAAATTAGAAATCTCAGAGGATGGAATGTAATTTTCAAACTACAGGAAGCGATTCGTATTTTAATCAAATCTTCGGGGGTGTCTTTTGTAATTTACCCTCTTTTTTTTTTATATATATAAATACCAAATGCAACTTTTTTTTGAGAAATTGTAAAGAAACCTTGATGAATGACCCTGAAGTCATGGACTACATTTAATTCAACAAATGAATAAGTAGAGCTAGTCTGTCATGAGAGAAGAAAATTACTACTATATCTCAAGACATCAATTTGCAATTTCTAAATTTTGCCTCTGCCCCTCCAAACACCATTCTCATCACACGGAAAGCAAGTAATTAGCTGGGACATTCTACTTTCTCTGTAAATCAAATTGGGAAATAATCTTTTAAGGTCAATCCACCGCTTCTCTAAGTCACTCAAGTACTTCAATTGCAACATCTTAACTGTGGTAACTGTGGTAGTTGCTATTGGGCCTAGAACAATGAAAATGCATGAGTGAACCTGTGGAGAACATAAATTTGAACAATTGTTAACTGTGGTAGTTGCTATTGGGCCTAGAACAATGAAAATGCATGAGTGAACCTGTGGAGAACATAAATTTGAACAATTGTTAACTGTGGTAGTTGCTATTGGGCCTAGAACAATGAAAATGCATGAGTGAACCTGTGGAGAACATAAATTTGAACAATTGTTAACTGTGGTAGTTGCTATTGGGCCTAGAACAATGAAAATGCATGAGTGAACCTGTGGAGAACATAAATTTGAACAATTGTTAACTGTGGTAGTTGCTATTGGGCCTAGAACAATGAAAATGCATGAGTGAACCTGTGGAGAACACCATCGATCTGATTAAAAATGTGGTCTGGAAAACAAGATCTACTTGAAGCCCGCAGTCCCCGTTGATGTCGTCCCCGTCACTACTATCCAACTTCGCCACCACTGTTGCCGGAGAAGGAAGGACACCCACAATGGTATAAGAAAAGAGTTGAGAGAGAAGATACTATTGTGAGTGTTAAAAATCCAAAAATTTATATTGAAATCGGAGAAGAAAACTCTCAAAACTCTTATTTCGGACGTAAAAATTCCAAATCTACACTCTAAAACTATAGATCTATACTCCAGGAGTGTAAATCTACACTTTCGAAGTGTAAAATGAGTTACTAAAATGTCGCCAAAGAACCGCCAGAGTATTACCGGAAATCTCTTAGCTCTCTCTGAACAGTATGCATGCGTGTCATTTTTATTTTATTTTTAATAGATTAACTGGTGGATATGCAGGCATCATAATTGGTGGATCTAGATGTCATGTGTAGAAACCAATTTCATGGTTAAAGACTGAACATTTATTAACAAACAATTATCCCCATCAGCCATTCTTGTGTATGTGTTTTTCAAAGATAGTACAGATATACTCATTCCAACAACCCTGTGCCCCACCGCTTTTCCTTTCCCAAAACAAAGTAAAATTTTCATTTTTTTCTCATGTAATTCATGTAAGTTTCCCCAAGTGTACTGATTAGAGAAATGCCAAATTTTGAAATTGAACTCATGTGGTATAACCTCCATCCAGTAACATACAATAGACACTATAATAAGGGTAAATTACAAATATAATCCTTGAAGTTTGCTTAAAATATAGATTGTCTCATGTGATTCAAAAAATTACAAGTACTCCCTTATTAAAACTATTTATTTGACAAAATTAACTAAAAAAATAAAATTCATAATTGCTCTCCTATATAATAATAAAATTACCTAAATTATTAATTGAAACATATTTTTAACATCATTAAAAATAGTTAATTGACTTGATAATTTATTAATAAAAGGGATGATTTGTTATGAAATTAGAAACCTCAAAGGATGGAATGTAATTTTCAAACCACAGGAAGCGATTCGTATTTTAATCAAATCTCCGGGGGTGTCTTTTGTAATTTACCCTTTTTTTTATATATAAATACCAAATGCAACTCACTACAACATTTTCTTAGTTTAGTGACATTTGAAAGTGCCACAAAACTATTCTTCTAATGACATTTTTTGGTCTTATGGCATTTTGAACAAGTACCACTTCTATCGATGCCACGGTAGACACGAGTGCTACGGTAGATACTTGCAAGTGCCACTGCACCATCATGGCTGAAAACTTTCAATGACATTTTAATGTCATGGTAGATATTATTTGTGGCACTATCAAGCGCCATTAAAAAAAGAGTTAGAGACACTTGTAAGTGTCATTATACCATCAAGACTAAAACCTTTCAGTGACACTTTAATGTCATGGTAGACACTATTCGTGACGCTATCAAGTGCCATTCATGACGATAATTCGTTGTAAAACAATTTGATCCGCTCTTGCGGAGACTCGAACCGCCAACCTTCCGCACCATAAACCTTATACACCACACTCTTCCCACTACACCTCTATAGCACCACATGATTATACATGCAACATATACTATTTATATAGTACATACATCCATATTAATATAAAAATATATGTATAAACATAATTATTTTATTGAACATAATTTATGTAAAATTAACTATTTACTATCAAAATAAAAAAAGACTATACTTTTGGCTACTAATTGTTTTTTAGTTGCTAAAAAACTTAACTTTTGTCGATCAAAATCGGATTTGGTCGCCGAAGATGCACTTTCAGCTACCAAAATTTTGGTCACCAAAAAATTTTATTCCCGCCTTAGGATTTTAGTTCTCCCGTGCTAAAAATGACCAGTTTTGGCGACTAAACTTATTTTTTAGTCGCCAATTGTAGACTTTTGGCTACTAAAATTTTTTTTGGCACCAAAAAGCTTTACTTTTAGCTACTAAAATTTTTTTAGTCGGTAAAACCCATATAATCAGCGACCAAACTTATTTTTAGTCGCCAATTGTAGACGTTGGCTACTAAATTTTTTTCGTCGCCAAAAAGCTTTACTTTGGGCTACTAAAAATTTTTTAGTCACTAAAACCCATATAATCAACGACCAAACTTAGTTTCAGTCGCCAATTGTAGACTTTTGGCTACTAAAATTGTTTAGTCGCCAAAAAGCTTTACTTTTGGCAACTAATGCTGTTGTGGTCGCTGAAAGCTATACTTTCAGCGACCAAATTTTTTTGGTCAAGAAATTTAATCACCGAATATGCTTTTTCCTGTAGTGTATATTGAGTTTAATTCATTTATTTTTAATTATTTACTGCATTTTAAAAATTTAGAAAATATATTGGCATTTTTTGTTTTTTCAAAAATGTCATTATAAGCTTGGAAAGTTTTTGGCTTAGTGGCATTTCTCAAAATGCTATAAAATATTTGTTTATGACACTTTTCATCTAAGTGCCATAAAAAGTAATTTGCACCTACCTAGTGTCCTGACATTTTTTTAAAAAATGCCATTGCAACTAAAGTTTAGTGGCATCTGTTGGTAAATGTCGCGAATATAATTTTTTGTGTCATTATTTTATAAAATGCCATAAAAATTATGTGACATTTCTTTATTGAAATGCCACTAGAGCCTTATATGTTTTGTGGTTCTGTGGCATTTTTCTAAAACATTTAATGCCAATTTTTATTTTTGTGGCATTTTCTAAAAACATGCTACTAGTGTAGTGCCACTAAAGTGTAAATTTGTTGTAGTGACATTTTTGTTGTAGTGAAGTGACACTTTTTCCACTAAATATCATTTTTGTGTCATTTTCTAAAAATATACCACTATTGTAGTGCCACTAAAGTATGTTTTTGTTGTAGTTTTGTGACACTTGTTCATTGAAATGTCACTAGAGCTTTTTATGTTTGTCGTTTTGTGGCATTTTTCAAAAACGTGCCACTAAATATCATTTTTTGTGGCATTTTCTAAAAATATGTCACTAGTGTAGTGCCACTAAAGTATGTTTTTGTTGTAGTTTTGTGACACTTGTTCATTGAAATGTCACTAGAGCCTTTTATGTTTGTCGTTTTGTGGCATTTTTCAAAAACGTGCCACTAAATATCATTTTTTGTGACATTTTCTAAAAATATGCCACTAGTGTAGTGCCACTAAAGTATGTTTTTGTTGTAGTTTTGTAACACTTGTTCATTGAATGTCACTAGAGCCTTTTATGTTTGTCGTTTTGTGGCATTTTTCAAAAACGTGCCACTAAATATCATTTTTTGTGACATTTTCTAAAAATATGCTACTAGTGTAGTGCCACTAAAGTATGTTTTTGTTGTAGTGACTTTTTCTTGAGGAATTGTAAAGAAACCTTGATGAATGACCCTGAAGTCATGGACTACATTTAATTCAACAAATGAATAAGTAGAGCTAGTCTGTCATGAGAGAAGAAAATTACTACTATATCTCAAGACATCAATTTGCAATTTCTAAATTTTGCCTCTGCCCCTCCAAACACCATTCTCATCACACGGAAAGCAAGTAATTAGCTGGGACATTCTACTTTCTCTAAGTAAATCAAATTGGGAAATAATCTTTTAAGGTCAATCCACCGCATCTCTAAGTCACTCAAGTACTTCAATTGCAACATCTTAACTGTGGTAGTTGCTATTGGGCCTAGAACAATGAAAATGCATGAGTGAACCTGTGGAGAACAAAAATTTGAACAATTGAAAATTTGAAAGTAGAAGAAGATCAATCAACAATAAAGGAAAAGGGTCGTTCCCATTAACCTCCATCCTTGCTACCAATATATATATAGATATTTTTTTTACTCCATTCAATTCAAATATGTAGTTTTTTAAAAAAAAAAAAATCAGAAAAATTGATTTTATGTTTAAGAAATGAAGAGAATCTACCACGACCATTAATTAATTTTGATATTGCAAAACTCATTTAGAATGTGGAGATACAATATCTTAGGATTAGCTTTACTAGGGTCGTTCCCATTAACTCATTCAGGTTCAGCCATTCTCATGAGCGACACCACTCACAAGCAAGTGATGTCAATCGTAGTACCTACTTAATAATTTATTTGTTTTATTTACTATATATAACTTTTATTTAGGATTAATTATACTTGGCATCCCTGCACTTTTGTCAAAATTTCATTTTGATCCCTCCACTATCAATTGTGAAGTCAATCCTTAACACTGTCAAGTTGCAATGCCATCATTCCGTGCATCTACAATTACCGAGGTTGATTAAAATTAAAAGTTGAGGGACCAAATTGAGATTTTGATGAAAGTATAAGGACTAAAGTGAGATTTTAGCTCTATTAACGCTAGATAGATGGAAGGGTGACATTGTAACTTGATTTCAAATTAAGGAGTTTACTATTACAATTGAAAGAAGGGACCAAAGTGAGATTTTGGTGAAAATTTACGGGTACTAAGTGTAATTCACCCTCTCAATTTTTACTCAAATTCTACTTTTTATTTATTTTTATTTTTTTAACATATACGCAAATTCCACTTTGGCTTTTTAATTTTTAACTTTCACTCACTTTTTTAATGGTGGGGTGACGAGGAGGACTACATTGAAACTTGATTTGAAATCTAAAGACTTTATTATTGCAATTATTATAGTGAGATATCAAAATAAATATTAAGTGAAAGATAGAGACTGAAAATTGTAATTTAGCCATTTAAAAATAGTGAAGATGTATATGATATTGAGAACCTCAGTGCAGGTCTTAATTCTCGTTTGGTAGATGGAACATATAGGGGTTGTATGGTACATCTTATCTGAGTTGCTTATAGCTTTTTTATTTTTTATTTTGGGAGTCTGTGTCAGACTGTTTGGTATAACTTTTGGTTATAGCTTATTAGGGACTAAAGTGAGATTTTGGTGAAAGTGCAACGACTAAAGTGAGATTTTAGTGGAAGTATAGGAATAATGACATGAGAAAATGTTACATATTGCTCACATGTGAACTAATGTCAATAGTTTAAGAGAGTAATTGTTCACAAATGTGATAGTTTGAGGGGATAAAGTGAATTTTTCTCATGACATTGTTTTGTTTTTTGTTTTTTGTTTCATGGGTTTGATAAGTTGATTAATTATTTAGGCGTTAATATAAATGTTTTGAAAATTGATTTGATTTGTTCAAATTAGGTTCTACCAATATGTACAAATTTTTGAAATGAATTAATTTTAGTGTGATATTCATCTCTTACCCAAGTAACTTGTGATAATCACACAAAATTTTTTTTTAGGTAAGATCATGTTGATATTAAGAAAAAATTTCATTCTTATCAATTAGATGTCCTATAGGTGATTGATATTGACAAGTGATAGATATTCTATAAGATTTGTAAAATTTAGAGGGTATATGATATTTACTTTGATTTCTGTTTTTTGTTTTAAGAAATAGAAAAATAAAAAACTAACACGGAAAAAGTTTGACAAACTATTTACAATTTTAGCAATTATTCTATGAATTCTTAAAAGCAAAGCTTTGTTCGTACAAAAATAAAAATGATAGGTGCTCATTGTTTTTGTTTCTGAGATACAAATTTCTTCTTTTTCTTTTTCTTCTTCTTTATATATATTTTTTTGAATATTAACACAAGTTGTTGCAGTTGCCCCATCCATTCTACGCAACATGCAATTTCCCTCTTGATAGATCCCAACATCCATTGTTTCTCGTCTCTAGTTGAATACCAACTTAGTAGGTTAAATTCTCTTCACCTTAAATGATCTAAAATTTTCAATTTATTTACCTCTGTAATGTGTCTCTATAAAAGGTCTTCATCTATTGTGGTAGGAGGAAACTATAAGCTATCCTTGTGTCTTTCACTCCTCAAAGCAATTGGATATCCTTTCTCTAAAATATAGTTTATGCAAAATTATCTTTATGGCATTGTAACCACGAACAAGGAGGTTTCAGCAGAGAAGATGAAGCATGTACCAAGGAGGTAGAACAGAGGGCAGGACCTAGTGATTGTCATTTGGGAGAGGAGGTAAACATAGTTCTCGAGGAGACCATGATGGAGGAGTCAGTGCACAACCCGAAAATTAATGTTGAGCAAGTCTTTACACATGGTTTTATCAGAAGCTTTAGTGGATTAAGAGATGGACTTGGGCATGGCATCAATCTTGAAGTGTATTTGGCCCAAGCACTTAGTAAGAATTTAAATGGAAAGGGATTTCTGAGCCTAAATCATTCAGGCTTAGTTAGGCAACATGCTTCTGTCCCAAAACTCCTGCGGAATGAGAAGAAAAAAAGAAAGAAGAAGGTTTAGCTAGAGGGGTTCACCAGCTTTGCTAGACTTCATACGCATAAAGCTACAACAGTCAGTAAGCACACCTCTAAGTCTGTCATCTACAGACTAGCAGCAGCTACGTTAGCATGTTCTGATCTGTCTAAAGGTATTACTAGTTTGAACAATCTTCTCCTCAATGAATCTAAAGCCACTATACAATTGGGAAAATCTCTTAGCATCAATTTCAATGGGAAAGAAGATGATGTTCTAAACAAGATTATTAAGCTAGAGCTAAAAGACAAAGAGAGATCCAAATAGGAGGGTTAGGTCTAAGAAGTAAGTAGGATGGCAACAAGTAATGTAACGCCCTCAAAATAAACCCATAAAATCATATAGTCAAGTTACAGGAAAAAGATATTATATTACAATCATCAGAGTATCCTTACGAAATGTATTACACGTTGACAACAAAAGTAACTGCCCTATAGGCTTACAAATTTTCAAGTCAACACTTGGTTACAAAGTGAGAGTACTAACTCAAATACATATTAAGCCCTTGGCTTGAATTTACATGAAATACATCCAAAGAAAACAAAACAACAAAATAGTCTGTCTGCCTCTAGCCTCCCAAGCTATGTTCTTGGAGGTGGCATACTGTTAGTACCTGAAAATGAAGTCCCATATAGGGTGAGCCACAGCCCAGTAGAAATATACTAAACTAACTATAAACAATGACTAAAATAATAACATTCAATAGATGGTCCACACTTATATTCCAACTTATGTCATATTACAGTTTCATGACAATCATGCACATGCTATATTTCACCTTCCATTCCTTATTCGTTATCAAGTTTGAAAACAAGGCTCAGAGTCTGACCAAATAATTTAATGAGATTATAACTCATCACTAAAATACTTTCAAAATTCATTATGTATACATATTTTGGTGCTATATCAATAACACATAGAACCACTTTCATACTTCACAAATGATAATGATATACATTTTAGTGGTATATCAAATCATACAAACACTTCTATACTTCACAAATGATACACATTTTAGTACTGTATCAAATCTCAAACAAATCCGGTTTAGAGGTCCATCCCCCATCTTCCAATAAACCATAGAGTACATCCCCCATCTCCTCCCACACAATACAATGTATATAAGCAATTATCATATACAAATTTAATCAATCAAGACAAGTGATACACATTTTAGTGCTACATCAATGTCAAACAAAACACTTCTATAATTCACAAATGATACACATTGTAGTGCTGTATCAATCTCAAACAAATCTGGTTTAGAGGTCCATCCCCCATCTTCCAATAAACCGTGGAGTACATCCCTCATCTCCTCAAACACAATACAATGTATATAGACAATTATCATATACAAGTTCAATCAATCAATACAAAATTTGATGTATTATACCAACCGCCGCATTCGATAACATACCCAATTGATTAGTTATAATTTGCCTAATCATCATGCATTGCCTACAACAATCAAGACTATCCTCTACCGATAGCCCAAAGCAGTTATTTCTAAACAGAAAATAAATGCACTAAATGGATAAAGTATCAACATTTTATCTAGGTGAGCGATAAATTAATCCAACAACACCCTTTGATCCTGTACCTTTCCAATTTGAATATTTCCTATTCAATTTCTCATTTTCCTAAATTAATTATACAAATTAATTTATCAAAACAGTTAGGGCTTTTTCCCATATTTACAATACCAACTCTAAGGTTCCATTTTCCATCAATAATCCAACACCAAGTCCATCTTCCAATGTATTACATACATAAAGGTTTATATGTTTGAAATCCCATCTTTTGAAAATTACATAAAGACCCCAAAACCTTCTCAAAATTTCCCAACAACCTCCAACATATCAAAATGTCAAAATTTAAAGACAAACCTCATAAGATGGAGTAGGATATCCCTACCTCGAAGTTAGAGCTCAAACGGAGGAGAGGACCAAACTCAAAGTGCTCCAAACTCCAAACTTTTCGGATAAAAACGTAGCCCTTGACGATCAACACACTTTTAGAGCTCAAACGGAGGAGAGGACCAAACTCAAAGTGCTCCAAACTCCAAACTTTTCGGATAAAAACGTAGCCCTTGACGATCAACACACTTTTTGTAAAGGCCAAAGGGTAGGAGAACACTTCAACTAGATCAATCCTAAGAGAGAAGGGAGAAAGTAGTGAGAGAAGCTCTCAATAATGGCTTTTCGAAAAAGTAAGAGAGAGAGTGGAAGTTGAAAAGTGATTCAAAATAGCCTAGCTGTCAACTGATATACGACACCCCCGCTCGAGCGTAGAACATGACGCTCAAGCGTCTAGCACAAAAACTGGACCCGCTCGAGCGCAAGAAGGCCCGCTCGAGCTCCAAGACACAGAAACAAAACACATCCGCTCGAGCACGAAAACCAGTCTGCTCGAGCGTGGATTCTCCCCTCCCAGTATTTTCTCAGACAGTGAACACCCGCTCGAGCGTCAAAATGGCCCACTCGAGCGCGACCCGCTCGAGCGTAAGGAAACCCCTCGAGCGTGAAAAACAAGCTTGCAGTACTTTTGCAGAGGCACGAAATGCTAGAAGTATGGAATCTCCGCTCGAGCGCACAAGGACCCGCTCGAGCGGACCACTCAAAAACTAGGTAACAAGAATTTGAACTGAGGCTCAACCCACCTGTTTGAAACACGCTCAACACATCCTAAAGCTCAGACATATGGAATTAAAGGATGACAACAAGACATACAACCACCAACTCCACGAAACCTAAGTCCGGAACACTGTACATAAAGGGGACAAACTCGGGATCGCTATAAGTAAGCTTAGCTGGAACATTTAGTGGGTTATTAGCAGTTGTTAAGCTAGTCTTTGGGTGGTGGCATCAAGTGTAAGTGGTCATGTGAGCTAGTGTTGGTGAGATGCTTGGTTTCTTTATTTTTTTTTTCCTTTTTTCTTTCTCATCCTTATTAATGTAATCTCATATGTAATGTATGGTTTCTTCTAAAAGACAAAGAGAGATCCAAATAGGACGGTTAGGTCTAAGAAGGAAGTAGGATGGCAGCAAGTAAGCTTAGCTGGAACATTTAGTGGGCTATTAGCAGTTGTTAAGCTAGTCTTTGGGTGGTGGCATCAAGTGTAAGTGGTCATGTGAGCTAGTGTTGGTGAGATGCTTGGTTTCTTTATTTTTTTTTTCCTTTTTTCTTTCTCATCCTTATTAATGTAATCTCATATGTAATGTATGGTTTCTTCATCAATAAAGATTTTCTTTGCTGAACAAAACAGTGTCGTAATGGCATTGCAATTTTGCTTACTTAGCGATATTTGATGACTAACATGCTAGTAGTGAACAGTGATCACTAACAATATTTTGGTATGGCATTTTTGGCAGGTATGGGAGGTATGACTCTATAAGGTTGATCCTTCAAACTCGGAAAGAAGATATTTGATATCATCATCAAGAGTTACTCTTTTATCCAACATGCCTGTGCTAGAGAATGCCAAAGATGCTGTTGAAAATCTCAAGAAGTTCACAAAATTATGATATGCTATGGTTTTACTTGGTAAAAATCAATGTGTGTTGCACCAATTTAGCATATGTACACTTTGTAAACATTAAATATATATGAATGATATTCATGCCACTTCAAACTACTCATTTCATTTTGTCATTTTTTAGTTCGCCATAAAAATTTGTGAATATCATTGAACTAATAATATTACAACAATATGAATATAAGTACACCTAATGACGACGGGACATACTAGGTGAACTGGTGTTTTTTTATTCTAGTGAATTAGTTGATACTATTATAATATTATATTATAAATACTAATAAATAAACGAAAATGATGATAGGGGCATATCAGGCGAATGAATTGTTCTTATGGTTGGTGACTAGAAACAAATTGTGGATTGAGAAAGGAGGGGCCACCGGTTCTATATATAGGATTATATATCAGTCGTTGTACTGTAGCAGCGGATCTTTTTTTGTGTCGTCCGTCAAAGCAAGGGGACCATGGCTCCCTAATGTGTTAATGTAGATACCCTGTTTGTCCATATGGACATTTTAATTAATTAATTAATACTCAATTCGTGGAGGGAGCCTCTTATTTGAGTTCTTTTCCCTGAAGTTGTTGTGCTGAGAATCCTTGCCATCCACATCCCAACTCTTCCTATAGAGGACAAAGGGTTGTTTTGGGAAGTAAGTTAAAAGTTAATTTTTTGACTTTTTTAAGTTTTTTTTTTTAAAAAAAACATGTAAAAAAGTAGAGAGGTAATGTGATCTAAAAGAGGTTAAAAGTCGAAAAATTGACTTCTAATCTCTTGTCAAAAGAGGCCAAACTTGTTTAGGGTATGACTGAGAATAGAAATTACTCTGTCAAATATGCTTTTTTATTGTTTATGGATCTTAATGAGAAATTTCACTACTTTGATAAGTTAAACCCTTACTTGAAGAAAGTTTGGTATAGAATCAAGTCATTGAAGATCCTTCCTAAGGTTTTATTCTTTCTTTGGAAGGCCATTCATCATGCTTTTCCAATTAAAAGTTGTTAATGTGCAAACAAGAAGTTGAAATTGGACTTCTCTAAACATGTATCGGGATCTAGTTTGGACTTTGATTTTGATAGTGGAAGCCTAGTTCTTTCAAGAAATGGTTTTTTATTTATTTATTGGATATGTTGGTGATGACCCTTTGGGAGAAACAAGATTATTTTTTATTTTCATTTTAAAAATGTTGATCTTAAGCCTAGTGATATATTGGCCTTAATTAATGATCTTAATTCTTAATTTTATGCTTTGAGTGAAAGTTAGAGATTTGCAAGTGATGGATGGTTGGGAAGCCAAGTGATGCTCTACAATACCATCCAAATTGTTTAAGTTGGTGCCTGTAAAGAGGTTATGTGGAGGTTGATATCCAGATAGATAGTTTGTTGTTTGTTTAGGCACTTAATGTTGTTTATGCAACAAATTGCTACATGTGTTTTCTGATAATGGACATTAAGTGGCTAATAATGTTTGTGATGTTTTAATTCGTAGTTTATTATGTTTCTTCTTGTTCCTAACAAAAATAGAGAGAAAAAGAAGAAAAAAAAGACAAGTCTTACCTTGCACATGGATACCTACCACTCATCAAACATTGATCAATATGAGCTATGTCTAATAACATTTTTAGTCTCTTATGTATATGATTTGTGTCATTTTGATTAACAATGTTGAAATTGTGAAAAATATTTTAATTTGGTCACCTAACTCTGTTAATCGATGGCGTTAAAGCTAAGGTAAATGTGGGAGTTGAATTGAAACAAAATGTACGTTTTTAGTTATATATACTAAAGGTGAGTGCAAATATGTTATATTTGTAATTTTATATTTAAATTTTTGGATAGCTTGAAAATTGAGGAAAACCGATCATTAGTTTTGAATTGTTAATGAAGGAAAAAATAAAGTCATTTTAACAGTTGTTACATGTGATAGCTATTGGGTGGAAAGAGGTGACAATTTATTGAGTGAGCAAGGTATTCTTGAAAAGTAAAAAACTTGATAGTGGCTCAAACCAATTTAAATAAACACTTTATATAATAGAATAAATATACAAGAAAGTGTGCATTGTAATAGGCAATTATAGAATCTAGGGTGTGCTTAAAATAAAAGGTAGTTCTGAAATAAAAAAGGGTTATTTATATGGAGATTTCTTAAATTATTGTGAAGTATTATTTCAATTTCCTAAACTATAAACGTGTACAAATAGATCTCCTAAATTATTAGAACATCTCCAATGGAGCTGTCAAACAACCTGCCAAAGCTATAATTTGGCAAGAGTGACAAAATGAGGGTCTCTAATGGCTTGCTATTCTACTTGCCAAAGATACCAGATGCTATTTATGTTCTCAAATTTGATAGGTTGAATAGCAGCTGCCAAACATGCCACATCGGCAAATATCAACAGTTTTTTGGCTCCAAATTCAGTTGAAAAAACAAAATTCAGACTGTAGAAAACCTCCAAAATTTATGAATCAAACCCAAATTTTATAATCAAACCCAAATTTCAAAGGAGTTGCCAAATTCACAAATTTCATAATAAATTTCACAATTTCAAAATAAATCCATAAATTTCAAAATCAATTTTAGAATAAATTTCACTATCTCAGAATAAATTTCACAAATTTCAGAATAACTTTGAGAATTTCAGAATCACACAAATTTCAGAATAAATTTCAAAATCGCACAAACATATCACAAAAATTTCAATTTCAGAATCACACAGACAAAACACACATCAAATTTTAGAATCAATTTCACAAATTTATATAAATTTCATAAACGAAAATAGATGATAAATACCTGGATCGACCTCGAGGGCTTCTTCTTCAACTGAGAGGTTTGACTACAGAAAGAGAGAGAGAGAGAGAGAGACAAATCGGAGAGGTTTGACGAGAGAGAGAGAGAGAGAGATCGGAGACAACACCATGACAGATCGAAGAGTATACTGCTCTTGAGCTCAAAGACCCACACAGAGAGACGTCCCCATGATGGAGGAGGAAAACAAAAGAGAAGAGTGAGACAGTGAGAGGGAGAGTGAAGACAAAGACACACAGAGAGAGAGAGAGAGAGAGAGAGAGAGAGAGATATGGGTGTTTCAATGATAGAGGAGGAAAATGGAAGAGGAGAGTGAGAGTCAGAGTAAGAGAGAGAGAGAGTGAAGACAGTGAATGAATGTGAAGATAATAGGTTGTATGATTCTAGGGAAATCATCTCAACTGTTGGTTTGTGTGTGGACGGTGGTGATCATTCTTGGAAGTGAAAAGAGCAATTGTGCTCTGTTTGTCTCCAAAAAAAAAAAAAAAAAAAAAAAATGTTTACAAACAAACAAACAAACAAACAAAACAAAACAAAAAAATGTTTTTTTTGTTTTTTGTTTTTTTTGTAGTGATATGTTTTTTGATAGGGTGAATTATATTTAAATTTTTTTTTCCAATTTTTTAATTTTTTTTGTTATTTTTTATTTTGTTTAGTCGGGAATAATATAAAAGACAAAAAAAAAAAAAATCATTAAAAAACCTAGATCCAAACAATACCTATAAACTTGGAGGGAAAGTTGGTTGAGATTTGCCAAAATAATAAGTGACCATTGAAGCACCATAATATTGCTATAATTTGGCAAAATAGTACTATTCATTGCCGAATTATAGCAATAGCAATGGTATTATAGCAACAACCATTGGAGATGCTTTTAGCATTTTTCACTTTGACCCCATCTGTTACTGCATTGCCATTTTTGAGATGAAAATACTCTTTAACACTATATAACACACCCAACAACACTTCTTTTCAAATTTTCTCATTTTTTTTTGTTTTATTATTATTTTTAAATATTTTTTTTTCTGTAAAAATATATTTATAAAGAATATTGCAAAAATAATAATGGATTAATTCTTATATAATAATAATAATAATAATAATAATAATAATAATAATAATAATAATAATGAAATTGTAAATATATAGAGTGTTGAATGGTATTTTCGTCTAAAAATATTTAGAAGTGTGATTTAACTCACGGTGCAGTAACAGAAGGGATCAAAATGAAACATGTCAATAATTTAGAAGATCCATTTGTACGATTTTATAATTTAGTCAAAGTGATACTTCTCAATAGTTTAGAATGTCTTTGTGTAAATAATGTAATAAAAAAGTTACGACAAAAGTTTTCAAGATTAATGTAGATATGAATCGTGCTACATCTCCTAATTTTATCTTCCTAATTCCACCTTTAATGATGTTGTCCACTCTTATATAAAACAGTCCAACACTCCTCTCTCTCTCTCATCTTTGACCTTCCTAATTTCATATCATTAAAGATAAAATTAGAGAAACAAAATTAAGAGGATAAATCATTATATGATATACTTCTATGCCTCACCTTTTTCATTTTCCGGAAAAGAGTAAAAAAATTGTGCTTTTCTCATGTAACTCACTGCAAGTTTCCAAGTGTACCGATTAGAGAAATGCTAAATTTTGAAGTTTTGAACTCTTGTAGTATAACCCTCAATAGGTAGCGTAAAAGAAACACTATATATATATATATATATATTTTTAATACCAAATAAAACTTTCTTGAAAATTTGTAAAGAAACCTCGATGAATGACCTTGAAGCCATGGCATACATTTGATACAACAAATGAATTAGTAGTTCGTCTTTCATGAGAGAAGGAAATTACCACTACATTCAAAGACATCAATTTGTCATATAGTGAAATGGTAGAACTTACTACAAATTCACGATGCCATTTCTTGATTTTGCGTGTTTGCTCTGTTCATCCAAACACCATTCTCATCACATGGGAAAGAAATGAGAGCGGGACATTCTACTTTCTCGAAGTAGATCAAATTGGGAAATAATCTCCTAAGGTCCATCCAATGCATCTGGAAGTCACTCAAGTACTTCAATTGCAACATCTCAATTGTGGTAGTTGCTATTTGGTCTAGATGACACAATAGTCCTCCTCTAATGTGGAGTTTTTTCAAGTTCTTCAGATTGCCAGACGACAACCAACTGGGTGTAACCATTTCAAGGAAACACTCAAGCTCTAGTTTTTGCAATGAGGAAGGAAGTTCCATCTGGATAGGAAGTTTCAAATCATGTTGCTTGGTGAACGATCCTGTCAGTGCTTTTGTTAGATTGGCACGTGGTTATGGTTGTGGTTGTGGTTGTGGTTGTGCTTGCTTAGGTGTGTTGTCTGTTCCGCCTTGTAAAATGCATCCTATCCAGGATATTTTTAACTTTTGCAAAGTTTTTAATGTCTGTAAATGACAGAGCTGCTCACTTGTTGGGAATTCTTTCATATTGGTGTGTAGGCTCAATTTTCTCAACTTCGACAATTTTGTCAAATCATCGATAGTACATGAGTTTTTATCCTTGGAATCTCCAATGATAAATCCCTTAACGCTGTGTTTGGTTGGGGGATTTGGGAAAGAAAATGGAAAGGGAAATGGAAATGAAAGGAAAATGAGAAAGAATTAATAGAATTCCAAATCCCAACTATGTTTGGTTGTGTTGGTTATAAATAGAATTGATGTCCTAAAAGGTCTCCTATTTCTTTATTTATTTCTCACCCCCCTTTCTTTTCCCATATATTTTTTATTACAACCAAACATAAATAGGATTACATTTCTCATTCCTTTTCCAAATCCCACCCCAAAAATCCCAACCAAACACAGCATAAGAACTTGGAGTTTTGATAGTGAACCAAGGCCCTTGGGCATGTGATCTAAAAAGTAACACTCAGACATGTCCAAGTGTGTCAAATTCTTCAGTAAGTCAATCCAATCTGGAACAACCTCAAGATTGTGACAAACTTTGAGATCTAGGATGTTGAGATTAGTCATCCGTGAAATACACTGAGGAAGCTCCGTAATCAAAGAAATTCCTCGAAGGCTAAGAAATCTCAACTATTTCATATTCTTGAATGCATTGAGAATTTTGGTGTCTGTGACTTCAATGTGATGCGTGACCGAATTTTGCCACCTTCCCAAGTAAACAATTTCGAAATAAATGAACTTGGAAAACCCTTCAAACCTGTCATCAATAATAGGCTCACCAATATTGAGGAAGCATTCATGCAAAGCAAATGATGGAGTATAAATTCGATTATTCGTACCCATAGTACACACTACTTAACGCAAAACTGGTTTAACGCAGAATGAATTGAAGGGTGCATTCTGTAGCTATCCACGCCCAAGCCACAATTTTTGTAAATGGGCTTGATAAAGCCCTTTGTAGTAAACTCATCCAAGAACTCATTGTTAAATTCCTCTGCTGCCTTCATTTCTTTGACCGTTGAGCTTGAGGATACAAGTCCCTCTCCAATCCACCAATAAATCATAAGCCTTTTCTTTATAGGAACCATTTTTGGGAATATCAAGAAACATTTCAAACAATGTTTTAGTTTAAATGGGAGGGCATCGAAAGATACCTTGATTTGATCGAACTTTAGCTCCTTGTACAAGCTTTGCGAATGGCCGGCCTTGTTGACATCGACTTGGTAGTTGTTACTGCTACGGTTAATGGATCCATCAAACCATGGATTCCGACGTGGTTTGGAATCATCATCGTAATGGTTTTTCATAATCAGCTTTGATGGAATTTGGGATTTCAATTTCTTGACTGCCACTTTCAGTTCGCTAAGTTCTTCTCCTCCTCTTGTTTTGAGCTGCTCAAATTTCTGACTGGCCGGTTGATTTGGACATTCATACGATCTACATACTTCTGAACCTTTACCTTGGCCTCTTTCATGTAAATAAGATCTCGATCAATCATGTTAGCGAGCGCAGGATCTCCAACGTGGTAGTCATCGTTGTTTCTGGTTGGATTTGGTTGGGAGATACTACTGTCCATGGCTTTCACTACCAAAAGGTCGTGTTGAAGTCTTGCCTAGATTTAAGAGAGAGAGAGAGAGAGAGTGAGTGAACACGTTTTTTCTTTGGTTGTTAGGGTTTCAAAGAGAGATGGATCAAGAGAGAGAGGCAAATGAGAGAAAAGAAACGTTGTGACACCATAAGAGAGAGACGATGTGAGAGAGAGAGAGAGGGTTGTTGAAACCGCATTCTCTCGGTAGGTTTTTATAAATTTTATAAGATTAATGCTTGAGGACTCGAATTTGAGGCCTCGAAATTCATATTTTTTTTTTAAAAAAAATTTCTATCTTTTTTTTTTTTTTTTTTTTTTGCAAAGGTGGTTATGTGTATTAGACATCTCACACTAACTCAGTCTGTATGGTTTGATAAAGTCTAACCCAATTCACTCATCTTATCAAATTACATACGTTGAGTTATTTTTTTTTTTATTTTTTTTTTTATTTTATT